ATGGGGCAATCTACTTCCGTAGTGATACTGCCTTGGAAACCCAAGGAGGGGTCGCTATGAGTCAGGTCTGACTTGATGGCACATAACAACAACAACAACATCTTCTTTGTCAATTGACCCTTTCAGCATCATATAATGTCCCTCCTTGTTTCTTATGATGTTTTTCACATTAATGTCTATTTTATCAGAAATCAATATTGCTACTCCTGCCATTTTTTGGTTTCCATTGTCTTGGTATATTATTTGCCATCTCTTAACTCTTAATTTGTTTTTATCTTTGTGTCTAAGATAGGTCTTTTGTAGGCAGCATATCGATGGGTCTTCTTTTCTTATCCAGTCTGCCACTCTCTTTCTCTTGATAGGTGCATTTAGTCCATTCACATTGAGTGTAATTAGTGATAGGTAAGAATTGATTGCTATCATTCTGTTGTGTTTTTTTGTCATGTTGTTGGTGTTTCCTTGGTCCATGTACTTTTCTGTGCTGAGTTCAGTTTGTTGGCTAATGCTTTCTCCCTTTTCTTCTTTATAGTTGGTTTTGTGCTTATTAAATCCATCTTTTTTCCTTCCTTCTGGATTTGCTTAGAAGAATTTTTACTTTCCTCTGTGGATACCTTGGAGTATATTCTTGTCACTACATTTTTAGAACAGTGCCTGCTGTGAAGACATTGTCCTGTTTTCCTCTCCATTTGAGGGTCTGTACCTAGAAGTTTCATTCCCACTGATAGGTTAGTTGCTGTTGTTGTATGCTGATTGAGTTCCTTGGTTTTTAAGGTATAATGTTTTATGGTCTTATTTTGAGTGTCTATTTCTGATTTGGTTTTAGTGTTGATGACATGTATCCTGGTTTTGTTGATCTCTGTTGTAGGTTCTCTATTGGAAGGACTTCCTTAAGCATTTCTTGTAGGGTTGGTCTGGTTTTCACAAAGTCCCTTAATTTCTGTTTATCTGAGAATGCCTTGATTTTGCCCTCATATTTGATGGATAATTTGGCTGGATATAGGATTCTTAGTTGGAAGTTCTTTTCCTTCAGTGTTTTATATATGCCATCCCATTGCCTTCTTGCCTGCATGGTTTCTGCTGAGTAATTGGAGCTCAGCCTAACTGTTTAATTTTTATAAGTAATATTTCTTTTATTCTGGGCAGCTCTCAAAATTTTTTCTTTGTCTTTGGTTTTGGAAAGTTTGATTATAATATGCCTCAGTGTTTTTCTTTTGGGATCTATCATGTGTGGAGTTCTGTGAGTTTCTTGGACAAATATCTTTTCTTTCTTCATGATATGGAGCAAGTTTTCTGTTAGAAGGTCTTCCACAATTTTCTCAGAGGTCTTTTTTGCCTCTCCTTGTTCTGGAATTCCAATGAGTCTTATATTGTTTCGTCTCATGTCATCGCATATAATTTTTAGGTTCTCTTCATTTCTCTTAAATCTTTGTTCTGATTTTTCTTCATACAGGCTAGTGTCCAGGGATTTGTCATCTAGTTGGGATATGCATTCTTCAGCCAGTTCTAACCTACTCTTTTGTGCTTCTACTGTGTTGTGTAATTCTGTCATTTTGGTATTCATGCTCTGCATTTTGGTAGACATCTGCATTTCTAACTGCTGTTTTTGTATGAGTTCTGAGAGTGCATTAATCTTAATATTCTGTTCCTCAACTATTTTCCTGAGTTCCTCCAGGGAACTGTCTGTGTTCTCCTTGTTTCTGTTTGGGGTTTCCTTAGGCTCTTGTATAGCTCTATAAACATATCTTCCAAATTCCTTCTCAGATAATTCTATTGCCTCCTCTTCCTCCATGTATAATAAGACCTTTGTTTGTGGTCTTGCTTCTAATGCCTTGCCCTGTTTTTTTGTTTGATTTGAGGTTGCCTATTGTTTCCTAGATAGTTTGAGGTTGTCTTTAACAGTTGGTTACGTGTTGATTTGTTTTGTCTTGGTTTTATGGTTTAATATTTTGAAAAGGTGAAGCTGGTGTATTTTATTTTATTATATTATTGATTCAGGTATGCTGGGTCACTCTGCATTTTTCTTTGTGATGGTGGAATCTGCATGGAATGTGGATATGGGTTTCTGTTTGTCATAAAGAGGGCTTAGAGTTCGAACCAAGAGGTTTTATATTGGCTAAATATGGTTTCTTCTATTGAATGAGTGACGTTATTGGTGGAGAAGGTTGGAGCAGAAGAAGCAAAGCTTTCTTTTGCTAGGGTCAGTTTCTAGGGCTTTGAGTGGGCTGCTACTGATGACATTATACTGTTATTTACAAGCCCAGGGCTCAATTTCAGGAAAGATTCCTGTTGTTAGGGTGTTGCCACTTTCCACCAGGCTCAGACACACACAAAGACCCTGCTCCTGAGTCCCCTCAGCACCAGAAAGCCGATCCAAGGCAAATTCCCGGGTCCATACTCAGCCACAGATGTTTCGCTCCCCACCCCGCCTGCCCACAGCGCTGGCTTAACCCACCCAGACCACTATTGGCTCAGGAGTTTTTCTGTTAGTCTACCCACCTGTGACGCCAAAGATGTGCACGGTTTCAGCTGCGCTGAGTTGGGAGAGTGCCTGCTAGTAATCTGTGGTCCCAATATTAGTGATAAAGACAAGCACAGACCTCTCAATGCCACTTAAGCTGACCCAAGCCTATTCAGTGACCCGCTGAAGGGGGAGCAAGCTCACCCTCGTGGAGCACCAATGAGCTCTCTGCTTGGGTTTCAGTGGTGCTGTGTGCCCGTTTACACCTAGCTGACCCAAGTTACCAATAAAATCAGGTGCTGAAGGTAGATCCTTGGGATGTTTGCTGGTATGTCAGTGTGGTTGCTGGTATGCTGATGTGGGGTGTCTTCTGCCTTGACCCAGGGAGGTCTCAGGTGGCTGTTCTCACCTGCTGGTTGCTCCCCCAGGGAAGTCTCTAATGGCCTTTTCGGCTGCCTGTCCACTTTCTGCCTGGTAGATCTTTAATTTCTTTCCCTGTGTCTTTCCTCTAATTCTACTCCTCTGTGTTTGGTGCACTCTGACTCAGTGAGCTGTTCAGAGAACCAAAATCCCTAATTCAAACTGTTGTACCTAGTTTTTCAAACACTAAGATGCTAGAGGGAAATAGCATGGTGATTATTGATGAGACTCCATTTTGAATCTCTTATTGGTGTCATTTTATTGTGTGTATGTGTGTGTGTGGTTTGTGTGTGTGTGTGGTGTGCTGCTGATTTCTTTGTTCCATATAATTTTCTGTGCTGACTTCATTTTGTTTATGGATTTTCTTATCATTTCCTTCAGGTTATACTTTTAGTAGTTCCTAAATAATTGTGACTTTCCTCTTTTTCATTTAGATAAGAAGGATTTTTAGTTTTCTTTGAGGTTATCTTGTAAATTATTATTTTCTTCCCAAGTTTAAAACAGCCCACTCTATCTTGAAACCATCTTGACTTCCTCTCTATTTGGAAGTTCTGCAATTACACTATTAATTCCCTCTTTTTGCTTTCTAGTTATCCTCATTTACAAATTGATGTCTCTGGTTCCATTTTCAGTCTTCTACATTTATTTTACTGGGGTACTTCTGTATCTGGGTTAGGGTGTTCTAGTGATGCTGTGCTTAAAACACTGGGCTGCTAACCAAGAGGTCTGAGGTTCAAACCCACCAGCCATTCAGTGGGAGAAAGATGAGGCAATCTGTTCCATAAAGATTTACAGCCATGGGAACATTATGGAAAAGTTCTGCTCTGTTGTATAAGGTCTCTATGAGTCAGAATGAACTCTATTGTAGTGCGTTTTTATACCTGGGTTGGTTTCTTGTTGATGTTGTCATGTGTCTTAATCTCAGGTTGTTGTCTGTTGTTGGTTTTCTGATCTCTTTAGCATCTCTTGTAAGGTTGGGCTGGTTTTTACAAATTCCTTTAGTTTCTGTTTATCTGGAAATGTCTTAATTTTTCCATCATATTTGAAGGACAATTTTGCTGGATATATAATTCTTAGTTATGAGGTTGTTATATTTGTAATTAATTGGTGATTATATGTTTTGTTTTGTTTTGTTTTTGTTTTCATATATCTGAGTAAGCAGGGCTGGTGTGCTACTTTGTTCACTAGTTTGGTACCACTTAGGCACTCACCACCTTTCTCTTGGAGAGTGTGATAGAGGATGAGAATGTCTGCACAGTTCTGTCTGCTGTTTGTATAGAGCAGTTGAGGGTGGGTTGGGCTGATGTTGGCCACCACATATCATTATCAGTTGGTGCAGAAGCAGATGGTGGTCCTCACCCAGGGGATGGAGCTGCAGGAGGTGCAGATGAAAGATGTGGTTGGACCATGTGGTCATGATTGCTGCCTCCTGCCGGTAATCAAATAAATAATAAAAACAAAAAATACAAACAGCTCAACAGAAAAGAATAATAAGTAAAAGAAGGGGAAAAAAGCAAGAGGAAAAACAAAGAACAACAGACAAAAAATAAATGAAAAAGAAAAAAAAAGGGAGTACAAAGAGAAAAAGGAAAAATAAATCTGAGGGAGGGAAGAAAATACAGCAAGAAAAGAGAATAAAACCAAAAAAACAAACCCACTGCCATTGAGCTGATTCCAACTCATAGCAACTCTACAGTACAGAACACAACTACCCCATAGGATTACCAAGGCTGTAAATCTTTACAGAATTGGATTGCCTTGTATTCCTCCAGAAAAGTGGCTGGTGGGTTTGAACTACCAACCTTTTGGTTAGCAGCCAAATATCTTAGCTACTGTACTTCCAGAGCTCTTTGAGAAAAAGAATAAACCAGAAACTCACTGCCATTGAGTGGTTTCCAACTCATAACAACCCCCATTGGGCTTCCAAGGTTGTAAATCTTTACAGAAACAGACTGCCTCATCTTTCTTCCACCAGAAAGAGAATCCAAAAAAAAAAAAAAAAAACCACTGCCATTCAGTGAATTCTGACTCACAGCAACCCCCTTTGGGTTTCCAAGGCTGTAAATCTTTGCAGAAGTAGATTGCCTCATCCTCCTCCCTCAAAGCAGCTGGTGATAGGTTGGAACCACTGAACTTCTGGTTAGCACACAAATGCCTTACCCATTACCCCACCAGAGCTCCTTTAAGAAACAGAACAGTAATGAGAAAATAAGAGAAATAATAAAGACTCAAGCAGAAATAAATGAAACAAAAAATAGAAAGACAATAGAAAAAAATCAAAAAGACTAGACATTGGTTTTTTGAAAAGATTTTTAAAAAGATTCATAAAACCACTGGCATATTTGACAAAGGAAAAGAGGGAGAAAATACAAATAACATGAATAAGAAACTAATTGGGTGATGTCACAACAGAACCAACAGAAATTAAAAAGATAATATCAGGATACTATAAAGAACCGTACTCCAACAAATTTGAAAATCTAGAAGAAATGGACAGATTTCTAGAAACATACTACTTACCTAAACAAATACAGACTGAAGTGGAAAATTTGAATAGACTCATAACAAAAGAAGAAATTGAACAAGTCATAAAAAAAAAATTACCACCATCAACAACAACAAAAAAAAAGCCCTGGCCCAAAGGGTTTCACTGGAGAATTTTACTGAACATTCAGAGAAGAACTGACACCAATCCTACTAAAATTATTCCAGAATACAGAAAAGGATAGACTCCTCCCAAATTCTTTTTATGAAACAAGCAAAAACTACAGACCAATATCCCTCATGAATATAGATGAAAAATCTTCAACAAAATCCTAGCCAGTAGACTCCAACAACATGTTAAAAAAAATAATATATTATGATCAAGAGGGGTTCATATCAGGTATGCAATGATGGTTCAACATTAGAAAACCAATCAACATCATCCATCACATAAATGAAACAAAGGAAAAGAACCACACGATCACATCAATTGATGCAGAAAAGGCATCTGATAAAATCCAACACCGATTCCTGTTAAAAACTCTCAGCAAAACAGGAACAGAGGAAAAATTCCTCACCATCATAAAAGGCATGTATGCAAAACCAACAGCCAAGATTATTCTCAATGGAGAGAGATTGAAACTATTCCCCTTGCAGACAGGAACCAGACAAGGATGCCCTCTATCACCACTTCTATTCAACACTGTATTGGAGGTCCTAGCCAGGGCTATAAGGCAAAAAAGGAAAATCAAAAGCATTCAAATTGGTAAGAAAGAAGTAGAACTATCCTTATTTCTGATTACATGATCCCATACATGGAAAAACCAAGAGACTCAGCAAAAAAACTACTAGAACTAAGAGATTTAGCATAGTGGGATAAAAGATCAACATGCAAAAATCAGTTGGGTTCCAGCACCAGCAAAGAGATTGCTATTTTATTGTATGTATTCAGAAATACAGAGTAAGAGAAGTGTCCATATGACAAAAGATCGATTATTCTTTTACTATAGCACAATATTCTGTGATTTATCCTTTAATTCTCAATTTAATATTGAGAATGTAGGGAGTATTCAATGAATGCTTATAGAATTAAAGGCCAAATTGAAAACACAGATGCTAGATACTGAAACTATGAAATACTGAGTACCTTATGTTACAACTCCCTGGAAGGTAAAGGTTACATACCTACTTTATGTTTTTTCCAACTATATGTTGGAAAGCTTAATTTATAGACCTAGTAAATTGTGTGGGAGCTCTGGTAGCATAGTGCCTAAGGCACTTGACTGCTAACCAGAAGGCTGGTGGTTCAAACTCACCAGCCACTCCTCAGAAGGAAGATGGGGCAATCTACTTCCCTAGTGACACTGCTTGAGCAACCCAAAGAGGGGTCTCTATGAGTCGGGTCCAACTCGACAGCACATAACAACAATAACAACAAGTAAATTGTGTGGGAGCTCTGGTAGCATAGTGCCTAAGGCACTTGACTGCTAACCAGAAGGCTGGCAGTTCAAATCCACCAGCCACTCCTCAGAAGGAAGGTTGGGCAATCTACTTCTGTAGTGATACCGCCTTGGAAACCCAAGGAGGGGTTGCTATGAGTCCGGTCCGACTTTATGGCACATAACAACAACAACAATAAATTGTGTAAAGTAATCAATACAGCACTATTCCAATCCTGGCCTAACTTCAAAACCCATGTTCTTTCTACCATAATCTACTGCTTGCCAAATTTTACAATGAAAAAATACATTATTTTCAAACCAGTCAGCAGCTCTGTTAATAGAACACCTTACCCTGTCCATTATCAAGCTGAGTTTAAAGAATGGATCTACAGAATTTGTTCTCTCTTGAATATGTAAGGAAATTTCAAATTCAAAAAATATAAGGTAAAACATTCTATAGAACTCTGATCTGAGACAGCAATTCAATTCAAAAATACAACACCCATTTTCTAACTTATAATGTGGCTTCATATAAATGAGCTGCCATTCCACACTAATTAAAATACTGGCTGCAAACATAACTTGGCAATTTGATTACATACTAATTTGAACAAAGTGTCACAAAGGGCACATCAAAACTCTGTGCATAAATTTCTCTAATTTTAATGAATTGTATCTTTTAGGAGATACACAGTTAAAAGTTAGTTTATATGCCAATTAAGGAAGCTATAAGCATAAACAATTTGCCTGTGCCTGGAATAAAATTTAATCAATCTAGGATCATTTCCTTTTCATTTCTGCAAAAAGAGTAATAATCATTTATTTAGGTAATTGTTATTATTAAGAATTTGAAAAATATAAAGATTATTAGAATTTAAAAGCTACAGTGAAAATTCAGCGTTGACTGGAAATCTAACATGAACTAATAATTCGGGCACTTCCATAAGTATTGCTAGTCAGAAATAGGCACTAGCTTAGCCCTTTAAATATCACCTGTGTAGGCAAGCAGGCCAATGAAAGATAAAAATGTATGGGTTTTGTTAAGCCTCACAGAGTACAGAGAATGAAAAAACTCAGTAGATTTAATTAATTTTATCACCTAGATACACCAGTCTTCTCAAAATGGTGATTGCTGTTAGGTGCCATTGTGGTAGTTAAGGTTACGTGTCAACTTGGCTGGGCCTGGTTGAGTGACTGGGCAGCTGGATGGAGTTAGTTATTCCCCATGGTGAGACTGGTAATCAATTCTGTGGTGGAATCTACTGGAGCAGCTGAGTGGCTGCTTTAGAGATGTCATCTGCTTCCAGTATACGAGAAGCAACTTTGAAAAAGGTCTCCAGCTTATGGCATGCTTGGACCCTGCGTGTAGACGAGTCATTGTTCAGCAGCCTGCCACGTTGTGTGCCGATCTTGGGACTCTTAATGAACTTGAATCAGTGACCCACCGTGTGGTTTGGTAATATTAGGATCATGCCTTTTTACTTGTCGACCTTGGCTTTGTCAGTCTCAGCAGCCAGCAGCTGCCTGAGTGAAGAAAAGCCTCCAGCTTCAGTGGGCCAGGAGCAAGAAGCAGAGCTGAAGCCCAAGGTCAAGGGGCTTTCAGCAACCCCCAGAGCCTGGCACATTGAACTCAGACTTCTAGCTTCCCAAACTGTAAGAGAATAAACTCCTGTTTATTAAAACCATCCCATTTATGGTATCTTCTATTAAAGTGGCATGAAGTAACCAAAACACCCATTAAGTTGATTTTCAACTCATAGCAAGCTCAAGTGATAGAGTAGAAGTGCCCCATAGGGTTTTCCTGGCTGTAATCCTTACAGAAGCAGATAGCCAGGTCTTTCTCCTGCAGAGCCATCGGGAGGGTTTGAACTGCCAACATTTCTGTTAGCAGCTGAGCACTTAACTGTTGCACCACCCAGAGTGCCTTCTCCAAATGGTACCAGAGACTTTTGTTATAGAAGTTATCTATCTAACTTTTCTATTAGAACCAAAATGTTATCAAGAGTCAGAACCATAGGCACAAAAGAAATTGCAGTGTCTAAAGGCAAAATAATAGAAATTAAGGCTCAGTTAGAAAAGCCCAAGAGGTTCCTTGCTTTTTCAAAGGAGCCTGAGTAGCACAAGGTTAAAGAACTCAGCTGCTAACCAGAAGGTCAGCTGTTTGAGCTCACCAGCCTGCTCCATGAAAGAAAGATGTGGCAGTCGGCTGCTGTCAAGATTTACAGCCTTGGAAACCTGATGGGGCAGTTCTACCTGTCCTATAGGACTGCTGTGAGTCAAAATCGACTTGATGGCAGTGGGTTGGTGTGCGTGCGTGTGTGTGTGTGTGTGTGTGTTTTGTTCTGTTTGCTTTATTCACAAGACTATGCCAGAAGTTATTGGCAGAAATGCACCAGTTAGGAGATATTCAAACCAAAAAACCAAACTCACTGACATCGAGTCGATTCTGATTTACAGCACCCCCCACTGGGTTTCCAAGACAATCTTTATGGAAGCAGACTGTCTCATC